GATATTTGGTTTTTCACAGAAAGAGACTGGAGCCAAGAGTGTTGCCATGGCAACAGCATAGTAGGTGTCAGTCTGTTTCTTTTGTGATGTACATTGCTGTTGCCAAGTTTGAAGAACACTGCCTTAATATTTCTAGAGTTATTCTCGATTGAGTGTTGTGCTGTTTTAGAGGAACCACCTATGAGGTCATCACTTTCCTCATTTGCATAATACAAAAACGTGAATATCTCTAAAACAAAAAAAGATATTCCAGAAAGGAAAACGCCATTCTTCTTTCCTGCTTTCAAATAAGCAGGAATTATTTTTTACTTCATAGGCACTTTAAAAAGTGCGTCCTTTCTAAGCTGTCAGTGAAAACCCATCCAGACTCTAATAGTTATTTTGACAGCTGAATTAAGCGATGAAAAATAGTGTGTTGCTTAGCATATAGCCACTAGTCTTCATGATATTTTACTCTTTAATTGTTCTTTTTACTTTGTTTTTAAGTGGTTTCCTACGCTGAAAAAACTGGCATTTCACTTTGACACCGTCACCTGGCAGCACACATATAGCCTTCAGAGTGAGTAAAATATTTCATTATTTTCATTTCAGATTACTTAGAAGTCGGTTGACATGCTTGTTTCTCCGTTTGTTTGTCTCTTTTTTTTCTGCGAGCTGAACATGAAGCATTTTGAAGATACCAAACGCGAAACAACACTTGATTATATTTTTGTGAAAGCTTTCATTTTTTTCTTGTGTGTTTAATCCTTGTTATTTCAACTTGAAAATAAATCATGGCATGCTAGCGTGGGCACGAACTATAAAAACAGATTCGTTTACTAAAACCGAAAAAAAGTCACGATCGAGTTGCAATGGTTTTGTTGTGTTTGACCTCGCATTTCCACTCTGTTATTAAATGCGCTGCGTGGCAAACGGTTGTTTAGGTCGGCTTTGGCAGCAAAAAGGTTTTCGTTCTAAAGATATATTGAAAGTTACTGGGACATTGGTGTGGGGTCGTTTTGGTTCGATGGCGTGACTTCTGGATCGATAGCGTGACTCAGCTCACGCACAAGGCTTCTCTGTCATGCATGTTTACGGTAAAGGGTGTCGCATGTCCCATTCACGCCGGTCCTGTCCGTAACCACTTTAGCCGTTTAACAGCTATTATATAATCGCGATCTGAGTTAAACCGTTTAACAGTGTCATCGAGATTAACTATAGCTAGGGAGTAGGTCACATTGGGAAAATTCTGATGGACATCATTTCCTTATCAAGTAATTGGGTGCGGCACAATTCAACGAGTATCTTTATTGAACAGAGGTGCGGGGATTTTGAAAACTCGACGAATACTGAACCTGCCGCTAACGCTGCTAAAAAAAAGCCTCAAATAGAAAGAGTTCCGCTATAATTCCGTTAATTTTTATATGCCATCCGGTTGCGCCGGACCATGAGGGTAATATTTGGCTTTAAGCTAACATGCCCAGAATAGATTTGAACTTTATCCTTTGAAAACCATAACGACGACGCGCAAACTCCCTTAAATTTTTTGGTTTTTATCCCAAAGCCACCGTTGTTTACCCTCCAGACTCTTAGAACTTTCTATAATAAGATTAATTCTTTGATTTTAATACTTCTTTTTTATCCTTTGGCGTGCCAGGGTGTCAGCTGGCTAATTCGGTTGGGATGGACTGACTTTGTCCTTAGCCTCTTAGCATTTCAGTCACGTGCTACAGAAAACAATGGCAGAACTCCTGCACA